CGCTCCTCATCCGAGGAGCTCTCTCAGTTCAAAGAGCAGAGAGTGAGGGGTTCAGGTTATAAGGCTGAGTGAGATAAGATACACATACAGGTACATATGTAGATTTGACAATTCACACCTCAACTGCATACACTACACTTGGGTCCAGTGCAGCGAGGACTGTCCAGACCTCTACATTGGAGAAACTAAACAGCCTCTTCACAGACGCATGGCTCAACACAGGAGAGATACTTCCTCTGGACAAGACTCAGCTGTTCACCTCCACCTCACAGATAAGGGACACTCATTTTTGACAGAGAGCCAGTGGAGAGAAACTAAAACTGGAGAAATATGATCTCTCCCAGTAACTCCAGTTAAGACTCTGGCAGCAGCATTTTGGATCAACTGAAGACATTTTAAAGACAAATTTGGACATCCAGATAATAAACCATTGCAATAGTCCAGTCTAGACGTGACAAATGCATGGACCAGTTTTTCTGCATCATCTTTAGATCAGATGTTTCTAATGTTAGTGATATTACGCAGGTGGAAGAAGGAGGTTCTAGTAATGTTTTTAATGTGGGGGATAAAAGACATGTCCTGATCAAAAATAACACCAAGATTTTTAACATTAGAACTGGAGGACAGATTAATGCATTTAAGAAGGGAGAAAGACTGAAAAATTCATTCCAAAGGTGCTCAGGTCCAAAAACCAAAACCTCAGTCTTGTCTGTGTTCAACAGGAGAAAATTAAGGGTCATCCAGGTTTTTATGTCTTTAAGACATGCTTGTAGTCTAAGTAGCTGATTGGATTCATTGGGTTTAATGGACAAATATAATTGTGTGTCATCAGCATAACAATGGAAATTTATCCCATGCTGTTTAATAACTTTACCTAATGGAAGCATATATAAAATAAAGAGTATTGGCCCAAGCACTGAGCCCTGAGGAACTCCATGACTAACTTTGGTGTATGAAGAAGATTTATAATTTACATTTACAAACTGGAATCTATCAGATAGATATGATTCAAACCATTTTAGAGTCGTTCCTGTAATCCCAATATCATATTCAAGCCTCTGTAGTAAAATATTGTGATCAGCTGTATCAAATGCAGCACTGAGGTCTAACAGGAACAGTATAGACACAAGTCCATTGTCTGAGGCCATGAGAATATCATTAGTGACGTTTACTAGTGCTGTTTCTGTGCTATGATGAGCTCTAAACCCTGACTGAAACTCTTCAAACAGATTATTTCTTTGTAGATGTTCACACAACTGACCTGTAACTATTTTCTCTAGAATTTTTGAGATGAAAGTTAGATTAGATATAGGTCTATAGTTGGCCAGAATTTCTGAATCAAGATCAGACTTCTT